GGAAATGGTTAAGTCAAAAGAAAGCTACTTGGCATCATTTGTTGTCCAGTCTGTACGTTGAGAAAGTTCAGGCTTAAGTCAAGTTCTGAGTGGATCATTCTGTAAGCCTGGATGAACTGAGATCATCTGGGGTCAGCTTTCTGAAGCTGTTTTGGAAGCACGTCTCTTGAGAAATGGCATTGGAGTAGTTTGAGGCAGGATCAGGTATCCCAGCATCCTCGAGGGTGGGTCATATTAGGGCTGCTACCCTGGTTGTCATTTTCTTAAACCATAATTTCTTACAAGTGATACATAATTCTGGACCAACACTATATGGAATGTGCAAAGTACACAGCTTAGCCAAAGGTGACTTCTGCTCTCTATCTAAGCAGTTGAAAGACATCTTTTTCTTTTTATAGCTAGTTTGATTATACAACTGAACTGCAATATAACTCTTTATTCATGCCATATGAAAGAATGGCATGCAATAATAAGTTATGAAAACTCTGTAGCCAACAAGATTTATTGACCACACAAGCTGATGTTTTGGCTGGAGACATTTCTCAGCCTGTCTTACAGCTGTTCCTAAATACAAGATCAGCATATACAAGCTACCTGGATTCGGTCTTGATTTGTTTCTTCTTGTCTATAGTCAAGATCTTCAGGGAGTCTCCCTTTGTCATGTCTAACTTTTTTTATCAATTTGGAAGGAACCCATAGCTCTTCTATATTTTCTGTGGAGATATAGGCAAAGCCTCTCCCCTAGAATAATGCATTTCCTTTTTTTCCATTCGGAGGTTAGGACATTTAAAAATAAACAGGCTGGTTTAGTTAGTTCAGGAGGTTTATGTTTGGTTCCATAATCCAATATCTCCCAGCAGCTGTAGGGTTTTGTTCACTAGCATTCAAAATTTTTAGAGTTACTAAAGCACCATGTAATTTATCTCCGGGGGTCTTTGTTACCTCTCTTTGTTTGTTAAGCATTTCTCTTAAAGTACAGTTGGATATCTCCATAATTGCTTGTCCTATAGGATTGTGTGGTATATTCATAACATGTTTTATATCATCATATATAAAAAAAATCATTTCACTTATTACAGACATATGCTGGAGCATTGTCAGTCTTAACTTATGTGGGTATTCCCATAGTGGCTATAACTTCTAGCAAATGCATAATTTCAGAATCAGCTTTTTCAGAAGTTAAAGCAGTTGCTCACTGAAATCCTGTATATGTATCTATAGTATGGCACACATATTTCCGTTTACTAAACTCTGTAAAATGAAACACAGCCATTTGCTACATTTCACTTCTTTGGGCCGCTTTAGGGTTCCTCCCTGTAGGTAATGGAGTTTGTCTATGTATAGAACAAGCGGGACATATCTTTACAATCCCCTTCACTTGTTGCCAAGTGATAGAAAGTTCACATTTCAAAACCTTGCAGTTAACATGAAAGATGGGATGGGAGGAGAGAGAAGAAGAAAGACAGAAGAGGCTGCACTGGGAGGAGAGGGGCCTTGGACATGTGGTCAGGAAGTGATAAGCAAGTAACAAGGAACTTCATAGCTAGGGAATAAGTTAGAATAGCTCAAAAGTCTCCCTAATCTAGGCTTACAGTATGTAAATAAAATACCTGGATTGTGTATCTTTTATACAAGCTAGCAAGGATTATAATTTCATTCCACATATATCCGTAGGAAGGGGCAAAGAGAACTTTTCTATTGATACAAACTAAAGAGGGAAAACGGAGGAAGCTGGAGGTACGAACAGGAGTGGTACATCCACAAGTCAAGAATACTTGTAGTCATGATTACCTGGGAGGGATGGGGACAGGTTCTCCTGTAAGTTCCCTGGAAGGAGCAGGGACCTGCTGATGCTTTGGCTTTGGTCATTGAATACTGACATCGAATTTCTAACATGCAGAATTTTGATATTTCTGCTATTGTAATCTACCAAATGTGTACTAATCTGTTACAGTGCCACATGCAGTTGATACACCTACCAGACTCATTTCCTCTTGCATTAATGTACATTTCTAGTCCATTCGTAGAGTCCCCAGGTGTGCTGGTTTGAATGAGAATGGCCCCCATAGGCTCATATGTTTAAATGCTTGGTCCCCAGTTCGTGGAACTATTTGAGAAGGATTAGGAGGTGTGGCCATGTTAGAGGAGGTGTGTCACTGGTGGTGGGCTTTGAGGTTTTAAAAGCCATGCCAAGCTCACATATGCCTCTTTCTTTCTGCCTGATGCCTTTGGATCAGGATGTGAAGCTCTCAGCTACTGGTCCAGCGCTACATCTGTCTGCTTCCTGCGATAATGATCAAAGACTAATCCCCTAAAACTGCAAGCAGGCCCCCAGTAAAACACTTTATAAGAGTTGCCTTGGTCATGGGGTCTCTTCACAGCAATAGAATGGTATATAGGATATAGAAAAAAATAAGCTCTTTGACCTCTTATCAGTGGTCATGGGAAGAAAATATAGGGTTGCTTCTGAGAGAAAATGCTCGAGGTGGGAGCCTGCTGCATGCATTCTGACTCAGTGCCCCACTATTGGTACTTGTTACTACATAGAGTGATAGAATGGAGCGATCAGGATAGTAGCTCCTACCTGAATTAAGGCCAAGCCTAGGGCTGTCTCCCTCCCCCCATTCAAATAGCAATAGCAGAGCTCATAATACCGTCACCTTCGATGGCTCAGGAGTTAAGGGAACAAGCATGAGGACCAAAGTTCAGATTCCAGAACCCATGTGACTAGGTGGACATCCCATGCATGCCTCCCAGCATGGAGAGAGGAGGGTGAAGACAAGAGGGACACTGGGGCTTCCAGACTGACCAAGAAAGCATGAGCCCTGGGTGTAGAGAGAGACCCCAATGTAAAATGAATAGGAGGAGGGTAGTAGATTAGGACACACAGACATCCACATAAACTCACATATACAAATAAGCATATAATAAATGGGTAAATAATCATTTAAATCTCAAACAGAAACACAGGCATGAATTTCCAAAAAAAGAAATTTATTTGGGAACAAAGATTAGGATTGGAGACCAGGGCATAAGTGTATAAAACTGGGATGATACGTTCAGTGAACAAAGAAAAAGTTGTGGGTTTTACTAAGACAATCTCAATCACTTTAAAGTGAAGGGGGTGTGATTGGGGGTGCTTTATTGCTTTAGAAAGCTGGCAAGCAGCAGAAATGACTATATAAAGCCAGTCTAATGGTCACGGCAACTCTGTTGCTGGTTACTAAGTAAAAGTATTCCTAAAGCCAGGGGAGTGGAGTGGTTTTGTGAAACAGCTCTTGCAGTAAGTGTGCATAGCTACAGTGTCTCCTGTGGAGAGGAGACTCCTTTACGATGGGATAAGCTAGGAGTGACTCTATTTGATAAAATGAATTTTCACAATGAGGAATGGGGAAGAAAATAGGTGAGGTTAGGAGTAAAGTCACTCTAGTCAGCATATTCAAACACATATTTGTTCAACAACGTTTTTTGCCAGGCCTTGAGCAAAGTGCTTAAACTGCATAATTGATGGTAGGAAAAGACTTGCGCTTCCTAGGCACCTGGGAAAGAACATAATGAAATCATCTGCCAACTCATCCATCCATCCATCCATCCATCCATCCATCCATCCATCCATCCATCCACTCATCCAGCCATCTATCCACTCATCCATCCATCCATCCACTCATCTACCCATTTACCAATCCATCCATCCATCTATCCATCCACACACCCATCCATCCATCCCTCCATCCTTTCATTCAACAAGTTTTTGCTCTGCACATAAGCTGTACTAGGTCAAATAATATAATAAAGTATGTATAGACATTGCCTTCATGTGGTGAGAAAATTAAGCAGACAAAAGCAAAATGACCAGAAATTATGGAAGGGCCTATGAAGGGAAGGTATATGGTGATTGATGGTTATGGATTCAGAATGAAGAACTAACATTTAGGATGCGTTTGAAAAGTTTGAAAGAACTGCAGGCAGTTGGATTTAAACCTGCATGCAAGTGGGAGAAAAGGTCTAGACAGGCAATACAAATTCATTATTTAGAACCATAAAAACAAAAAGAAAATAAAAAGGAGCACATAGCAAAAATCTGTACACATAGTGAGAGACTCAAACACGTACTTGTGAATAAGCAGTTGGTGGAATGTTGCACGTGAGCATGTGCTGCTGGGACTTGAATTTAGTGCCCCACACATGCTGGGCAAATACTCTAGTGCTGAACTATATTCCAAGCCCTTATTTTATTTATTAATGTATGTAGTCTTAACATTTCTCTGACATGTATGTGTGTGTATGTACTATCAATATGCCTTGTATACAAATGAGAAAGCTAAGACTATAAACAAACAATAAGTAAACAGGCTGGAGAGATTCCTGCTCAGATGGTAAAGATACCTGCTACCAAGTTTGACCTAAGTTTCATCTCTGGGTCGAAAGACAACGGTGACTCTCCCAGGCTATCCTCTGACCTCCACACACACATTCACAAACAAAATTAATTTTAAACATTTATTTTAAAAGTTCAATCCCACATCTGTAATCAGAGGGCAGAAGGTGGATTGCAGTGGGTTTGGGGTCAAGACTGCAGAGACTGTCTTTAAGAAGGGAGCAGGGAGGCGGATATAGTTCATTACGTACAGCTCTTGCCTTGCTTGCACAAAGCCTTGGATTTTATTAGTTTTAAAACGCTTCAGCCGGGCGGTGGTGGCGCACGCCTTTAATCCCAGCACTTGGGAGGCAGAGGCAAGCGGATTTCCGAGTTCGAGACCAGCCTGGTCTACAGAGTGAGTTCCAGGACAGCCAGGGCTATACAGAGAAACCCTGTCTCAAAAAACCAGAAAAAAACCCAAAAAACAAAAAACAAACAAACAAACAAACAAACAAACAAACAAACAAACAAAAAACCCGCTTCCGCAGCGTCTTGCCTCCACCCAGACTACAATTCCCAGAATGCTGCACAAAAAAAACCCTCGGAAGCCGGAAGTTGATATATCGATTCCGGCGCAAAGGGCGTCGGGTAATCATGGCTGCCGTAAGAACTCCGTTGTCGCTGTGGAGGTTCCAGTTGGGCTCTCGGCGAACACGGCGGGTCTATACTCGGGCCGCAGTACAGCGCCACCCCGATGCTCTGCTCGCGACTCCGCCCCAGCCCTTCGAGGTGGGGCAGCCCCGCCGCCCGCTCAGCTCTGAGGCCGGTGAGTGACCGCCAGCACTCTGCTGAGCGCCTGGGAAATTTAGTGCTTGCTCTAACTAGTGAAAACTGTAGGGCAGGTTGTCAGACTGTGTCGGCTTCCTTCTATCCTTGCAGAGCTTATCTAAGCTCGCCCTCATTCATTCATTCATTCATTCAGCCACTAGTGCTTGCGTTCTGCTTCTTGTAAAGCACTACGCTACACTAGCTTGGGCCATGCTGTAAGGTTGACCTGGGCTCTCTTACCCCAGTGGTGATTGACAGAGTACGGTGATCCCGGCTGCCTTTTGGGGTTGTGGTGGGGGCGGGGGGAGCACCTAGGAGCTTTTCAAACTGGGTTGGACGCGCACAGGGATGAATTCCAGAGAAAATACAGTCAACGCTGCCACCGGCTAACTATGCTAAGGTGAAAATAAGCAGAAGTATAGCGAAGAAACTGAACTCTGATATTTTGAGGGAACCTATTTTGGAGTTAGGGTTGATAATGTGTAAGTAAGTTTCCAGGTTTTGATGGTAAGCAGTTGAATGGAGACTAGTGCCAAGCCAGAGAATATTAATGGTAGAAACAGAGTTTGTTCATGTGTTTGATTTTTGACTTTGGATTGATGACTAGGTAAAATAAAAAATAAAAATGGGAAAGGAGGCAGAATTATGCTTGTTTTGTATTGAAAGTGAGATGTCTTTGTTATTCCAGGTTCCAATATACAGTTAGATACAAATGAAGAGCATCAGAATAAAAGTGGTAGCTCCAGTTGGCCAGGTGGCTGAGATTGTCTAAAGAGAGTGTAGTGCACTTATTGTTACTAGGGATTGTGGGTGACCATGAGAATGAAAACAGGATTTTGCTCTTCAAAGAATGTTCTGGCTAGTTTTGTGTCATCTGAATGGAAAGAAACACCTCCATCAGATTAGTGTTTGATGTGGGAGGGCCTAGTCCATCGTGAGTGGTGCGATGCCTGTTCTGTTGGCCCTGGATTCTGTAAGAAAGCAGGGGGAGCAAACCAGTAAGTATCACCCCTCCATGGCCTCTGTATCAGCTTCTGCCTCTGGGCATTTTGTGTCCCAAAGTGTAAGCCAAATAAATCTTTTGCTCCCCAGCTCGCTTTCGGCCATGGTGATTCATTGCAGTAATAGAAACCTAACTAGGACAGAGACTAAATCTTAGTGGGCGACACAGTCAGACCATGTGAGTTTTAAATGTGAGAGTCATCTTGATTTTTTAGTTAGTTAGTTAGTTAGTTAGTTAGTTTGTTTGTTTTAGCAAATGACACTCAAAGAATCTTATTGTAGAAATGGTTTGTAGTGAGGTTAGAAAAGAGTCAGGGAAGGAGTAAGAATGGCCTTGATCAGAGTAATGGCAGTGGGGAATAGATCTAAAAAGAGACTATTAACTAGTACTCTTTTTTGTAGAAGTGGGAAGATTGTAATATTACTTTACAGGGTTGCCAGAGGGTTGAATATTCTGAGCATGGTATGTATTTAGTTCAGTCAGCACTGCACAGTAAATCCCTCCTGTGTGTTAATAATGGTCATTCCTGTCATTTTAACTGCTTTTTCCCCCCTGGGTGTGGTGGGTATGGAAGAAGACAGGAATAATTTTAAGATTCTGGACTGAATGACCAGATGGACGGGGCCATTCTATTCTATATCTATTCTGTGATAGAGAATAGTAGGGACTGCAGTTATGAGACAAGAGAAGGTTGTGGGGCATGCTATGGTCTGATAGTACTGGAGTACAGGTAAGATGTCCATTGGGAAGTGGATGGAGATGATCTTGGGTCGAGATTGGGATTTTAGAGTCTCTGGCAGACGGATGTAATTAAAGCCATAGAAAGCTAGAAAAGTACCCAGTGAGACTATGGATAGGGAGAGAAGGAGCTAGGTCAGGATCCTGCAAGACACTAGTATCTATAGGACTAGTGGCTAAGAGGATCCCAGGAACAGATGGCCTTTTACTTTTCCAATGGAAGTGTTAATGAATTATCTTTAGTATAAATATTAGCAGTAAATTAATCCAGTGGCTGTATTTCTTTACCTTATGCTAGTCCCCAATAAACACACAAAGAACCTAAAATTTATTTAAAACTGCACCCCAATAGCATAGCAGTTAAATGCTCTGCTATAACCTTCTATGCTACTCTGGCTACCTCCTATCCCATCCCATAATACTTGCATATTATTATTGATCTGGCTCTTTGAGCTTCATGTGTGTTTTTATGGTCTCTCTCTGGACCCCTTCCTCAGGCGCTAATTCCTCCATCCTCCTGGCTGATCTGAGTCTTGCATCTTGCTTTCTCCTTCTCTCCTTCCTTTGGCTGGCAGAAACCCCATGTCCCACCCTAGTCTGTCTTCTGCCCAGCCATTCGGTGATTGGCATTTATTGACAAGGCACAGAATAAATGCTAAGAACTGCTTACACAAACCTGAGACAGGAGATTCTTGGTAAAAGCATTACAGTACTGTGTCCAGATTGAAATAAGGTATAAGGGCAGAGAAATCAGCATTTGAATAACGCAGGGTAAACTTTACACAGTGGACAAAAAACACTATGCCTACAGAAAAGAGAACCAGAAGTGAGTGAGAGGAAGAGGGAAATTGTGTGAGCCAGAGCTGGGCTCAGCTGGGAAGCGATTGAGGCGCTAGACCCAGGTGAACCTTGGTAAGCCCTCTGTCCTAATAGCTAGTTTTCTTTGGGTTAGCAATGGCACCCTCATTCATAAAATTGGGAGGTTTGGACCTGTATTGTGAGTGTGCTGTGTTTGACTTCTAGGAAGCCAGTATGAGGGTTGAAGTGTAGCCTACTGGTAGAGTGCTGCGTGCCAGGTCTTCAGTTCTGTTTCCACCACCTCCTATTACAACCAAAAAGAGGAGACAAGTCAGAGGGTGTCATCTTTAGTTTTCGTGGTGCTCACTGTGGCAGACCGTCGTCTTCTTGGCAGGCAGTGGGTGTCATGGTGAATGTTCAAGACATTTTAAGTACTGAATGAATGAGAGTATCTCATAGATATTAGCATCAGGTAGTTTTGAAGCATATTCTCTGCAGATGGTTTTTATTGTCCACTTTCCACTTAGAGACATCTTGGCTTCCCATTGTGGGCAGCTCCTTACCACTGAAATTCATTTTACAGAATCTGGTAGCTCAGAAGTCAAGAAACCTACTTTTATGGATGAGGAGGTCCAGAGTATCCTCACCAAGATGACAGGCCTGGACTTGCAGAAGACTTTTAGGCCTGCTATACAACCACTGAAGCCACCAACGTACAAGTTAATGACCCAGGCACAGCTGGAAGAGGTATGTCAACTCTTATTGATAGAGTATTGATAGAATACCTTTCTCTCAGGGTTAAATAAGACAGAGTCCATTGTAGATCTCAGTGCTGTTCCCCCTGTAGGCATGGATGAGGGTTGAAGGAGGCATGGAGCTGGGGAGAGACGTGTGAGGTGGAGAGGAGCCGAGGTGGGGCCATAGTTGAGCACACTGGGGTCAAGTCTAGGTGTCTCCCTGCCCCAAACCAGCCTGCTCATGTTTTATCCTACCTGCTCCAGCTCCCTTCCTGGAAAACCATCTGCCTGGGAGCTGAAGGGCTGGTGCAGTTAGAGCAGCAGCCTCCTGCAGGCAGCAGAGACTCTAGTCCCCTGTGGAGTACACTCTGCTGTGTGAATGTGTGACACACTGATGGGCTTCTTTCTGATCCAGTAGCCAGCAGCGTTAGAAAAGTAAAACGTCCCTTTTCTCCTCTTAGAGCTCGTCACTGTAAATTCTGTGGCACAAAGCAGGGCAGTCTCTGCTTCGGAGTGGAGGAGCTCAGTTCTGACGCCAGTGCAAGTCCCAGTACTGTACCTTCTGTGTAACTCTTGCTCTCCATCAAATAGAGACAATAATAATAGCACCTGGCTCAGGAGGAAAACTAGCCTGGGGTTTTTCTTAATTTATTTCATCCAGTTTGAGGCCAGACGTGTGGCCTCGGTGCCCAGAACAATTAGATTCAAGTAGAAAACGATGAAGGACTGATACGACCGTGTGCACTGTGGGCTCATGGGTCTGGGTGGGTCCTGTCACTGTCCCCAGTGGCCTGTCTACCCTGGCCGCCACCTGTCTCTAGGGTCCAGGGCCAAAGTCCAGCGAGAAGGCACCAGAGCACCTCACTGTGATATGCTAGCTGGCTCTCTCCTCTGGGGTGGGAGAGGGCACAGAGCTGCTTCAGCCCTAGGGCTGGATGGGATGGCCAGGGCTCAATTTAGGTTGACAGAGGAACAAGAATCCAGTCTGTTGCCATGTATCATGCTGTTCAAAGACATTTAGGGGATGTTAATCTTGGTGACAGAAGAGTCCCAGCCCTCCCGCTCCTATGTGGCAGCTCTTGGTGGATGCCCTGGGAGCAGCCACCTCACATGAGCCCCTCTCCTAGCACTTGTC